CCCCACTGTGGAGTTTCCCGTCTGGGTTGGGGGGGGGGGTGCTCCTGCTGTGATCCAGATGGGGGTAAAGGGCCTGCTAGTTTCTGACCCAAAGTGGTGAGACTTTGGGGTTGCCAGCCAGGCCCACCTCTCCCGCTGCTGCCTCTGGGCCTTCTCGGATCTTCTGCCGGTCTCTGGGGCAACCCCTGCTCCAGCGGAGTAGAACGCTGGGCCCCAGCGGACCTGGCCTCCTCTGCAGGGGACCCACTCACCAGGGCCTTTGGAAACTGGGTTGGTCCTTTCAGTTTTGTTTCCTGGGCTGAGGCCTCCCACCACAGCCCTAGCTCTGCCCACCTGTGCTTCCCCCCTGGTGGAGGGGGAGCCCCTTCCCCAGGGGTTGGGGGTGGAGGCCCCGCCTCGGGGCTGGTCAGTGGGGCCTGAGGGAGGCAGGGTGGCATGGGAATTGGGGATGTTGGCCTTGGCTGCTGGAGACCGTGGGTCCTGTCCCTGTGGGCGTATTGGGCCTGGGTGTGGAGGGCTGGCCCTGGCCACCTTGTCAAGCAGGTGAGTGTGGATAGGGGCAACAGCCAGCTGACCTGACATTTCATGGGCAGGGTTGGGGCCTGAGTGGCAGAAATGGAGGTGGGAGGGGGCAGATGAGCACGGGGTGTGTTCAAGGTGAACCTCTGACTACCTATGCCAGTGCAACCCCTCCCCTGTACCACACTGGCCTCTTGCCTGGGGGTGGGGGGGGGGAACAGGGAAGAGGAACCCCTCTGGGGCTGTTTCTTCTCTTTCCTGTGTGATTCCACCACCCCCTCTCCTTACACCCCAGAGCCAACCTCTGGCCCCAGCTCTGCTTTCCCACACCACAGGTGAGATGGGGGTGGGGGGATCCCCATCTTTGATTTGGGCTACCAGTTCTGAGCCCTGGGAACAGTGTGGAAGGCAGAAACCCCCACTGATGGTGTGAAGGGTTTATGGGCTGATGGGGCAGCCCAGAATCTAGCTGGGGGGAGGAGGGGAGAGGAACCTCCATGATCCAGACACTGCACCTGCCAGAACTCAGCCTCTGCTGGGCTCCTGCCACCCCTCCCACTGCCACCACCTTCAGCACAGGGGGAGGCAGTCCTCTGCCCTGCAGGCAATGGGGACTCGTCTTGGAAGCAGCCAAGATAGAGATGGCACACTGAGCCAGGGCCAAGCCTACCCCTTCCATGCCACCCTCCCAGGCTCCGCACGTCTCTATCTGCCTCCCTTGGCCATGAGGCAGCCCTGGGTCTAGGTCTGTCTGCCAGGGCTGCCAAAGAAATGGGGGGTGGCCTTCGGGCCCGGCTGTCTTGGGAGCTTCCCCTTGCAGGGTGAGGACAGCAAACACCCTTCCCAGTTGGCTGAAGGCTTCTGCTGGTGGCAACGCTCCCATGGGCCCTGTGCCAGGCCCTGGGAGCTTCCCTGAGCCAACAGTGGGAGGGCAGCAGGCAGCTGGCCCCCTGGTCTCAAAGCCAATGTACAGCTCATCCACAGGTCCCACCCTACCAGGGCACAGGGTCAGAGCCAGAAATGGTGGCAGCACCTCGGATTAGCCCAGGTCAGGTGGGAGGGCAGGTCCCACCAAGGCTGACCAGCATCATGCCCCTCTCCCAGGGCCCAGCACCCTGGGAGAATGCAGCAGCTCTTCAGGGCTCTGGTTCTTAGACTGCACCAGACCTACCCTATGCAAGGAGATCTGCCCCCTAACTCTGGAGACACGGGTGGGGGGCTCCCCAGCAGCGGGCACCTCCCTCCCTGTCTGTCATTTGTAGTCACCAACACCAGAATCTCCCTAGATTTTTATTGACAGCTCTCCTCAGCGTGTAGTGGCCCTCGGCCCCCGGGTAGGCTCCTCCATGCCCTCCTGGGGAGGCACGGCCATGTGCATCTCCAGATCCAAGGAGCTGCCCCCTGGCCGGCTGGCCGTCTCCGTGGGGCTGGTTTGGTGCAGCAAGTTCAGCTCAGCAAGGCGCCCTTCGGAGGACATGGGTCTGTCTGCCCGCTGGCGGGACAGGGCTGCGAGACAGGAGGGGCTGAGGTGGTTCCCGCCTCCCTCCCTGGGGCCCACCTGGGCTGGGTCCCTGGAAGCAGGGAGCAGCCCCCTTTAAACCCCCACCACCACCACCTCCAGCCAGGCTGAGCCAGGCTATGAGGGTAGCTGTCCCCGGGCTTCAATGCAAGCTCAGGGTCTTGCTCTTAAGCAGTGAGGGTCTGTCCTTATGATCCCCGAGTATAGGGGTTATTAAAGGCCACGTTCAGACAGCTTTAAAGTAAACAAGCAGAAGCAACAATTGGAGGGCAACCCCAACTGGGTCAGAGCAGTACACTGCAAGATTCTCAATGACTAGGTTTTTGTTTTGTTTTTTTCTGTGGGGCCTATGGGTAGATTTGAACTTCCAACCTCTTGGTGAGTAGCTGAGATCACCATTGGCACCACCAGGGGCCCCCATTCACAGACAGATGGCCATTTAGATGAGTGGTTCTCAACCTTCCTCATGCCGTGACCCTTTCTTACAGTTCCTCATGTTGTGGTGACCATAACGTGGTGACCCAACCATAAAATTATTTTTCGTTGCTACTTCATCACTGTCATTTTGCTACTGTGATGAATCGGGCGACCCCTGAGAAAGGGTCATTTGACCCCCATAGGGGTTGCCACCCACAGGTTGAGGACCGCTGATTTAGACTTAGACTCCTGCCATACCCACACCCCTCCTCCTGGCCCCTCCTACCTCTCGACAATTTTAATCCCCTCAGAGCAGACTGGGGTCTAGGAGAAGGGCGCTAAGGAGCCCGTCGAGAGACTCCTGCAAACCAGGGCACAGAGCACCAACTGTTCCCACCACCCAAGCTGGCCTGGAAGGGGGGCGGGGGGACAGCCGTGGCTCCGTGGCCAGGGCTGGCTCTGGGGCCAGGCAGCCTGTCTTCTGATCCTGGCTCTGCCTCTTTCCTAGCGGTGTGGCCTTGGCCCAGTGCCTTCACTTCTCTGTGCCTTGGTGTTCTCAACCATCTGTGGGGCTCACGGCAGCCTCTACCCCTTCGAGTTGGGGTGAGCAATAAAAGCGGGTGAGCAACACACCGGAGACAGGGAGCTGGGAGCTTCCCTGTGTCCTCTGCACCCAGCCACAGACACCGACTTCTGAGACTGGGACATCTGTTGGGTGGCAGCTAGGGCTGTGGCGCTGAGCCTAGGAGGGTCTCCTGTGGGCTCCCAGGGACCCTGGAGCCTCCTAGGCGCTTTCCTTGGCCCAGTGTGGTGAGGCCACATGGAGGGAGGCAGCGCTGCTGTGGCGACCCCTAGTGCACAGACTGGGGAACTGGCCCTGGAGAGCGGAGAGGTTTGCTCCTTCCGAGGGAGTCGGTCCTGCCTGTCTGCCACTCTCAGGCCACGGGCTTCCAAGTCTACCAGGCCCCCAGGCCCTTGTGTGGCTGAACGCCGTGAGCCTTCAGGTGGCCTGGCCTCCAGGTGTGAGCACAAGGACTCCAGGGGTCCTCTAGGCCTGGGGCAGTGGGGAAGCTGAGCGGTGACAGCGTCTGGCCTCAGTGTGTTATATCTTGTTCTAGCTCCCGCTGGGAGCACCAGCCCTGGGGAAGGCCCCAGCCTGCTGCCAGAGCCTTGGGTGGCCATGCTGCCATTTCTCCTTGTGGAAACCGGGGAGCAGCAAGAGCGTACAGCCCACCGCCCGGCACACAGTGGCGCGGGTTTCCTTCCCTTCTCCGTGTCACCCCGTTTCTCAGCCCCCAGGTCAAAAGGGTAAGCAGCTGGGGGTAGGCATGGGTGCTGGCAGGGAAACTACCTGTGTTGCTGCCAACCATTGTCTGTGCACTCTGAGGCCGCAGGGGCAGCTGGCTGTGGCCGCTCAGGGACTGCTGCCGGTGCACGAGGGCCCGGGAGGGCAGCTTCGACTTGTGCTTGGCAAGTCCTGAGGCTGAAGGGGGGCAATGGGAGACGGAGGTCTGTGCTATGGGACAGAGGGGGAGAGCACGGTGGGGACCCGGGGGAGGGGAGAGGGTCTCTGGTCCCTTCCCTATCTGCATTTGTGGAGGTGCCCTTTGTAACTGCTTCGTTCCTTCAATTGCCCATCCCCCCTCCCATCCACCCATCTGTCCATCCGTGACGTGTCCAACCATCCAGCCACCTGTCTGTGCACTAGTCCATCTCATTGTGCAAGCCACCAGCCATTGTCCGTCCATCCCTCCAGCGTCCCCAAGGAGGGACACGCATTGGCCCTGGCCTGGGTGCTAGGGGAATTTGGACCCCGGGTTGACAAGTCCAGAGGGACAGAGCCAGAAATGCACATAATGCACGGGTGGGAGGCGAGGCATGACGAGCTTCTGCTCTGACTAGCCAGCCACAGGCCCATCGGAGGAGAGCGAAAGCGTGTGGGGACTCGGAGAGGGCGTCTTGGTTTGAGGAAGGGGGAGGGCGGGGCGAGGCTGGGGCAGAAAAGCATGCTGGTGGCAGCATGTGACAGGGAAAAGCCAGCAAGAGATGCTGGGACATGAGGTCCTGACTGGCTGGCCGAGGCTGGAAAGCTGACCTCCGCCTGCGAGCATGAGCCCACTGGCTTTTGGAGACCTGGATGGAGAGCAGTTAGGGAGGGAAAAGGAAGGAGCCCAGGGCCCAGTGGCCCAAAGAAGTACCTGGCCTGACAAGGGATGGAAGGTCCCTGTGGGCCCCAAACTACCTAGACACTCACTGTCTTTCGTCAGGATGCCCGGCAGCCTTGTATCCATCCGCCCCTTGTAAATGTGTCCGTCCAGACCCAGGATGTCCACCTCGTCATGCTGTGGAGATGGCAGTTCTCAGAACACCGTCTTCCCCTGACACCAGAACCTCCCTCGGGATTCAGGGTGGGCCCAGCCAGGAAGGGAAGTGGAGCTAGTTTTCTTCCGAGGGCCCGTGATGGGTGGCTATGGGCCAGGGCCAGGCCAGGATTTGGCTGACTCTTTGCAGAAGCAACTGCCCCCAGGCAGAGGGCTGTGATGGGGGCGCCCGGGGGATTATCCTGGATGACTTGAGACTCTTGGGAACCAGGGTCCTTCCCCCCCACCCCGGGGACAGCCCCCGACCTTCCTGGCAATCTGGGTCTCCTCTGTGGGGAGCAGGCCCTGAGGCAGGTGCTGCAGGCGGGTGCGGCGATAGGGGTAGGTCAGGGTGTGGCTGCCTCCACAGCGCCTGGGTGCCGAAGAGTAGGTGTAGTCGGTCAGGTCCAGCACCCTGTGAGGGACAGCCACCGAGTCACTTAGGGCAGGCCACCAGGGCATGCCCGGTACACGGAGGAAAGTGGCAGCGCGCCCTAGGGGTCTCTGGGAGTCACGAGCAGGACACCAAGGGGGCCACGCACCCTCCAGCCACGTCATCCTGAGAAACACATCTACACACACACACACACACACACACACACTCAGAGTAAAATGACCTTCCAAGGAAGGAGGCCCATTACACCCCCCGCCGTTCATTTTGTTCTCCCAGAGTGAGCAGAAGCACACACACACACATTCACATTCATACTCTGACTCACACCTCACATGAACACACTCAACTTGTACACGCACTCACTCTGCCACACTCATTCCCACTCGCAAGAACACAGCACTCTGCCACACATACTTCCACACACCCGCACCGGATCGTTCACACAGACTCCGCGCTCACACATACCTACCTTTCTTCAAGCCACTCCCACCCTCATGCACGCCCTCACACTAGCACATGCTCAGCTCTTACAAGCACTCCCACTCATTCACACACACACTACTCACACGTACACACTGCTTACACACTCAGACTCATACACAATCATGCACACCCTCACACTAGCACAGTCTCAGCTCTTACAAGCACTCCCACTCATTCACACACACACTACTCACACGTACACACTGCTTACACACTCAGACTCATACACAATCATGCACACCCTCACACTAGCACACACTCAGCTCTTACAAGCACTCCCACCTCGTTCACACACACTACTCACATGTACACACTGCTTACACACTCAGACATACACAATCACGCACGCCCTCACACTAGCACACACTCAACTCTTACAAGCACTCCCACTCATTCACACACATACACACTACTTACACTCAGACTCATACACAATCATGCACGCCCTCACACTAGCACACACTCAGCTCTTACAAGCACTCCCACTCATTCACACACACACACACACTACTCACACGTACACACTACTTACACTCAGACTCATACACAATCATGCATGCCCTCACACTAGCACATGCTCAACTCTTACAAGCACTCCCACTCATTCACACACACACACTACTCACACGTACACACTACTTACACACTCAGACTCATACACAATCATGCATGCCCTCACACTAGCACATGCTCAACTCTTACAAGCACTCATGCATTCCTTCACACCCATTCTGTCCACTCACACCCACTCAATTATTCACACCCGTTCATAGTGACACACACTCATGGACTCCTTCCCCTCTCGCACGCAGGCCTGCTCATGCGCTCTCAGGCAGGCAGCAGTGTTCCATTTACAGCTCCCCCCTACACACACACACACACACACACACACACACACACACACACTCCTACCGTTTATAGCAGGGAGTGCCCAGGCACTGGGACTGCAGGAGCTCCCGGATCATCTGGCTGCTGGCCTTGACGGAGCCCCCGAAGTGGACCTGCACCTTCTCGATGTCCATCAGCATCTTGGAGTGCATGCTGCGCAGGCGGCCCACGCTCCTCTCCATCTGGCCCAGCTCGGCCCTTGGGAAGGCACTGCCCAACTTGAGGCTGCAGACAGACAGCCCCAAAGTGGACGGCGCTTTCGCCTTCCAGAGCTGGCCCTGCTCCGCCCCTGCCCCAAGGCCGGACCCTGTGCCAGTGACATGGAGCCTGTGCTCCCTGAAGCAGGCAGGGTGCAGGAGCTGGGAGCTGCCACCTGCCATCCTCCTTGCACACCAAGCCGGCCACACCTAAGCTCTCGATCCCCGAAGCACAGTGTGCAAACCACCCTGAGGGCCGGATCCAGAGCCCCCTTGGCTGAACCCACCTTCAGCTGAGGGGCTGGCATGCTCTGCCGGCGACCCTACAGGACAGAGTAGAACTGCCCCCGAGGGTTTCCAAGGCTGTCCCCCTTTACAGAAGAGGAGTGCCGCATCTGCCTTTGGCGTGGCGCTGGTGGGCTTCCCACTGCCAACCTGGCAGCCGAGCGCTTAACCACCGTGCCCCCAGGACTCCTCCCACAACTCCCAAAGGGCACCAAGAAGGACGAGCGCCAGGGAGCCGCCCTAGTGCTCCCCAGAACTACAGAGCCCCGTGCCGGCCTCCCCTCCCCTGGGGATCCCTCCGTGGCCATACTTGCGGCTCTGCTGGCGAACCTGCTCCAGCTCAAAGATGGTGTATGGCCGGGAGGACCGGTGCCCGGGGAGGCTCTGCCCCACCGGGGTCACCGGGATGACTCTGCCAGGGACAAGGAGAGGGGGGTGTGGGGGTGAGCAAATGCCCCGCCCACAGACCCAGTCACCCAAGGCCTCAGGTAAAGGTGGGGTGGGGTGCAGAGGATGGGGAGCGTGGGGGGGGGGGGGAAGGGGAGGGAAGATTAAGGGGGCGGGGGGCACCCGGGCGGGCGGGCCAGCAGGGGAAGGCTGTGTGGTGAGAACCAGTCCGACCCACATAGGAAAGAGGGAACAGAAGAATTGGGGTGTCTGGGGTGGGGCGATGCAGGGCTCACAGCCTGCTGGGCCCTCAGAGTGGCCAGGTGCTCCCGAGCAGGCACTCACTGTCCAGACACAGGTGTCTCCAGGGGGCGGTCACAGGAGAGGCAGTGGAAATGGGCCAGGAGCTGCCTGTGAGGAGTGAGGGCACGCAGTGAGGAGCCCCACCCCTGGGGGGGCTGGACCCCAGGCCCCAGAGGTCCTAGGGTACATCTTCTTCTCTACTGCAGGCCCACCCGATAGCTCCTGCGCCTCCGTGTCTGGACCTCAGACCAGGGTCCCCAGGGCTCCTAAAGGCCCGTGCTGTCTGCTGACACCGTAGGAAGGCCCGAGGCCTGCCATGACCCTGAACCCCTTTCTCCATGACAGAAAGAGGGATGGGCTAGGAGACCCTTCTGAGCTCTGATATTCTGTCCCTCCAGCCTGACCGCCAGCTGTCCCGACCACCACCTGGCCTCGGGCCTCACCGCCGCATGATGGCGGCCTCGTCCGCCTGGAAGAGGGGAGAGCGCTCCTTGAGCTGCCGCCGCAGGGACTTCCAGCGGTCCTCCAGCAGCTGTTTCACCGGGTCCAACTCCAGGCGGTCCAGCTGCAGGGGACCAGGCAAGCACAGCTAAGCCAGCAGGTGGGGGAGGCCTGGCTGCCCGAGAATGGGACAAGAGCCTTGGCCGCACCTTGCTGTCCATCTCCACCAGGAGCTTGTCCAGCATCTTCTGCCAGTCCTGCTCCTGCCCACTCATCCTGGCCACCAGCTCCTGCATCATGTGGTTCAACTGCTCCGTGGTGGCATCAAACTGGATGCGGCTCACTTTGCCTGCCAGGGCACTCTTGTCAGCTTTCTGCGGGGCACAGGAGAGAAGGTGCCCGTGGGAGCAGGGCCAGGAGGCGCCCCAGCCCCCCCCCCCCAGGTGTTGGCCTCTGGGAACACTGGGCAGGTTCCCACGTTCCTCCATGCCTGCCTTCCAGGGACTACCAGCAGCCGAGGTCCATTCTGACTCAGCCACAACCCTGCAGGTCCACGTCCGTGGGGCCCCAAGAGGCCTTGCGCGGCTGCCCATCTAAATGGTAGGCGACTGCCCCCTCTTTTTCTAGGGAGCGCTGGGGGATTTGAACCACTGATTTTCTGGTCCAAGTGCTTTAACCCCAACTCCACCAGGGCCCCTTTCCCCCCAAAAAACACCGAGTGATACTTCACACCCACTTGGGTAGCGGGCATCAGAAGGTCGGAAGGCAGGGCAGGAGGGAGTGTGGGACAGTGGTTTGGCCCAGCCTTTAAAAAAACTGAACAAAGCTGCCCCGTTTCTGTTGCTGCTGGCAGAGGCCGTGGGGTTGTTTGGACGCACAGGGGCCCCGGGGGCAGTAGAACCGGCTCCTAGGGCTTCCAGGCCGTGCTTCTGACAGAGCCGACGGCGACATCTTTCTCCTGGCAGCTGCTGGGTGGGTTTGAACTCGCACCCTTTCAGCGAGCACCTTTGCGCCATTAGGGCTCCTTAGAAATGACCTTGTGACCTGGCAACTCCATTCCTGAGCATCTGCCCCAAGACCTGAAAGCGCAGCTCCGTGAAGACTCGTCATTCCAGTGTTGCCGACACTCGGGAAGAGGACCAACGAGGTGTGGCAGAGCCCAGGCAGCAGAGCAGCGCATACCCATAAGGAGGTGCTGGCACCCGTCACCAGACGGGCACAGCCTGGGAGCCTGATGCTCAGTGAAATGAGGCAAACGAAAGGGACCGAAGACCGTCGGATCCCACTCAGATGCACGATCTGGAATAGGAAGTGGAGCCCTAGTGGCGTAGTGGTTACATGTTGGGCTGTAACTGCGAGGTCTGCAGTTCAAAACCACCAGCCGCTCTGAGGGAGAAAGATGGGCGTTCAGGGGTTTTGTGGGGCGGGGGGAGGACATAAAGGTGTGGGGGAGATAAAAGGGAGCTGATGTCAGGGAATCCAGGAAGGAAAAGTAGGTTTGGAGACTGATTATGGAAGCAAATGTACAATTCTGTTTGACGTGATTGGACTATGGGATGCTACGACGTGGGTATTAACTCCCATGTGAGAGCAAGTTGAAAAGGCACACATGCGACCCGAAGAGTTAAAACTGTGCCAGTAGAGCCCCCTATGATGCAGGCTGGACCGGGTCTGGTTTCCAAAATGCTCTGTATTTTTGGTTCGTTTTTTGTTCACTCAAAGTAGAGTGGCTCTCAGAGGTGTTACATCAATGCAGGTGACCCTCTTGAGTCTGTGCTATGTGCTTTTCCGTTTTTCAGTAGATGAAACCCAAGACTGATGAGCCTAGAGGGGCAGCGAGTAGAATTAGGGGCTGGGGGGAGGGCGTACAGCAGTAGCGGCGGGGCGAAAGGAAGACAATGTCAAGGAGTCTGTGTAGAAGAAGAATGGCTGGAGACCGTGGTGGCGGTTGTACAATTCTACTCGACGTGACTGACATATGGAACGAGATGTTATACGCATTAAAGCTCAAGAAGTAAATAAGGAGTTCCAGCCTTGGAAACCCACGGGGGCAGCTCTACCCTGTCCTGTAGGGTCTCTAAGGAGTCGGCATTGACGTGACGGCAGTTTGGTTTGAGACTAGGAAGCCGTAGAGATGCAAGTGGAGACAGAGAGATGAGGGACAGGCACCCTGGGCTCGATCGAGGGGATGAGTTTCTCCTCGTTTTAGGCAACGGGCAGTGATTGTGTTGAATGTGAATAATGTCGTTGACTTATATACTGACGGCTGGTAAACACAGCAGTGTGTGTGTGTGAGATATGTAAGCCAATCTGTACAACCCCTCTTTAGAGCGTTGAAAAGCAGGGAGGTTACTTTGAGGACTAAGGGGCACCTGACTCAGGCCATGGTGTTTCAATTGCCTCATACGTCTGTGAAGCTGGGCGGTGCAGAAGGAAGACCAGAGAAGAAGCGATGCCTTGAACGACGGTGTTGGGAAGAGTACTGACAGTCCCAGTCTGTCTTGGAAGCAGCATGACCAGAGTGCTCCGGAGTGGCGAGGGTGGCCAGACTTTGCCTCGCATGCTTCGCACACGTGGTCAGCAGAGACCAGCCCCTGGAGGAGGACCTTGCTCTTGGTAAAGTGGAGGGCCAGCGGACAAGAGGAAGAGCCTCACGGGAGGTGGGTGGACACAGTGGCTGCATCGATGGGCTCAACCGCGGTGAGGACGGCGCAGGACCGGGCGGGGTTTCCTGCTGTTGTGCACGGGGCCGATATGGGCCGGGACCCACTCGAAGACATCAACAGTGGACCACCATTTAAACCTCCCCTTACAAAGAGAGCCCAGAGCCACGGTCCTGAGACCCATTGTGTGTGTGTGTGGGGGGGGGGCACCCCAGGGGCAGCACTTACCACGTCGATCTCCATCTCCAGATGATCTCTGTTGGCTTTCTCCCGCTCCAGCTTCTCGATGCCCTGGTACA